ACAGTAAATATGATGACTCATCGATGAGCCATTGCAATGAGTCATCGTTTTGTTGCGATGTTATACCAAAACACATTTTTGCAAAAATTGTATCGAAAAATCACACGCAGTATAATGCAAAAAAATATTATGCGATAAAAGACAGAAAACTATCGTTTTTCTGTTTGTTTTTGCGTGAAAAAATACAGCGCAAAAATACGCATATGCAGATAATGCGTTTTCTGATGTTGCGTTAGTGTAGTCAGAGAAGCGCCAATAAAACGCACACTTTTTTGCAGAAATCGTGAAAAAAATTTGACATGGGATTCACACAAGAGACGTTGCTCCAATGATGTTTCGACGCTGCTGCTAACCCAGAATCCCATTCCCAATGAATTTGCAAATATAAGAAAGAATATATGATAGAGAAGGAATCCTTGGGAATCTATCGGAATCGGTGGGAACCCTTGAGATTCACGCAAGTGACGGTGCCCGAATGATGTTCCCACGCTACCACTAACGGAGAAGCCTTGAAATCCAATGATTCCAGAAACCCATTCCAAATGAATTTCCAGATGTAAGAACGAATACATCATAAGCATGGAAGCCTTGGAAATACTTGGGAATCCTTGAGATTAGCGCAAGAGACGGTGCCTCAATGATGTTCCAACGTTGCCGCTAACCGAGAAGCTTTGAAATCGAAGGATTCCAAGGATTCGAGAAACCCAATACAAATGAATTTGCATGTATCACAAAGAATACATCATAAGTATGGAATCCTTAGGAATCCTCGAGATTAGTCCAAGAGGCGGTGCCTCAGTGATGTCCCAACAGTGTGGCTAACCTAGAAGCCTTGAAATCCAAGGATTCCAAAAAACACAGTCCAAATTAATTTGCATATATAGCAAAGAATACATCATAAGCATGGAATCCCGGGGAATCCTTTAGATTCACGCAAGAGACGGTTCCCCAATGATGTCCTAGCCTTGCCGCTAACGGAAAAGCCTTCGAATCCAAGGAATGCAATGATTCGCGAAACCGATTGCCAATGAATTTGCACATATAAGAAAGAGTACATGATAGCATGGAATCCTTGGTAATCCTTGAGATTCACGGAAGAGACGGTTCCCCAATGATGTGTGAATGTTGCCGCGAACAGAGTAGCTTTCAAATCCAAGGATTCGAAGGGTTGCAGAAACCCGTTCCCAAAGAGTTTTCATATATAAGAAATAATCCACGGTACACGTGGAATCCTTTGGAATCATTCGGAATCCTTGAGATTGACGCTTTAGGCGGTCCGCCATGATGTCCTACTTTGCCGCTAACCAAGAAGCCTTGAAATGCAAGGATGCCGAAAGCGCATTCCCTGGGCGTGGCCTATATATCATAGAATAGATTGTATACACGCTGCACATGGAATCGTTGGGAATGCTTGAGAATCCTTGAGATTCTTGGATTTCGTAGTGTCTTGATAATGTTTGATACTCTGGCAGTAATGGGAATTCTTGAATTTCGTAGTATCCTGATAATCTTGTGCTATCTTGAATGAATTTGAATCCTTGGATTTTACTGTGCCTTGATAATCTTGCAGAAGCATGAAGGAATGGAAAGCCTTGCAATTCGTGGCTTTGGTAGTGTCTTGATTATGTTTCGTACTCCAGCAGTAACGGGAATCCTTGAAAGTCTGGTATTTCGTAGTGCCCTGATAATGTTTCATACACCAGCAGTAAGGGGAATCGTTGGAATTTTTGGATGTCTCTGATTGCGAAGCGAGGACGATGAGTACTATCGCTTTAACGGCCAGAAACGTTAACGTATGCTGTCGTTTCCTACACTTTGCGTTCGTAATTAGTCATCAGTTGACGTTTGGTAAGCGCAGTATTAAATTGTATTTTGTAACGGCTTTAAGACGCTTATCGGAGCATTTACGATTGTTTAGGATTCGGTGAGATAGGACCGTAATGCGGCGCCAGGGAAACGGGGAATAACTATCAAGAGCGGCTGTTTACTACCGTGCTTCTTCCACCTGGGCAGGTTCTTGTCAATCCTGAACAATCAGAAATCTTTGGAATTCTTGGATTTCGTAGTTTTCTCCTTGGACTACGTTTCCTTATAAACGTTGGCAGTCCTCAACTGCTGGGAATGCTTGAAATTGTGCGATATCTTAGTTTCCTGAGAATCCTTGACAGTCATACATAACTGGCAATGCTTGGAATTTATCAAATTTCTTACTTTTCTGATAATCGTTAGCATTGCTTAACGGCTGAAAATCCTTGGAATTCTTGTCTGTTATAGTTTTCCGATAACTCTTGAAAATGATAAATTGCTGAGAATCTTCGGAATTCATGCAGTTCTCTTTTTCGTGATAGTTCTTGACACTCCAGAATTGCTGGAAATACTTGAAATGATTGGATTTCTCAATTTTCTGATAATCCTTGGCAGGGCTCATTTGCTGAGAATTCGTGGAATTGCAGGAATGTTGATTTCGATGATTATGACTAACATTAGTAAAGTGCTGGGAATGCTAGGAATTCTAGTGTTCTTCAGTTTACTGATAATCATTGACCGGAATAAAATGCTAAAAAGCCTCGAAATTCTTGAATTTCTTACTCTCTAAAAATAGGTTTACTATGGAAGATGTGCGCAGGGGAAGAACTTTTGATGTTTCTTAGAAACTGACCGAATCTAATAATGATTCGACTAAGTCTGCGAAACTTTTTTAAGTTCAGTACCGTTTCCCCTGGGCACAGGTTCGCTAATATACCTTTTTTAGAATCTAGTTGCTTGATAATCCTTGACAGTCACAAATATCTTGGCAGCTTGCAATTTTGGGATTAGCTTAGCATCGTGATAATCCTTGAAAGTCCGTAATAGTTATGAATCCTCGGAAGGTTTGGTTTTTTTTGGTTTCCTCGTAATCCTCGACGATTCTAATTTGATGGAAGTGCTTGGATTCCTTCGATTTCTTACTTGCATGATAATCGTTGCTGATCCTTAAGTGCTCTGAATAGTAGGATTTCTGGAATTTCGTAGTTTACTGATAAACGTTGGCAGACGTGAATTATGTGAGTTCCTTGCAATCCTCGTAATTCCTCCGTTTCATGGAGAGCCTTGAGGTAAAATAATAGTCTGGATTGCTTGAACTTCTTGGATATGTTTGTTTTCTGTTATCCCTGGACATTGCTTAATTGCTGGGAGCGCATGGAATTCTTTGACTTCTTGATTTGCTAGAATGGCTTAACATAAGTGAATGGTCTCTGATGATTTGGTTTCTTGTATTTCTTGTCATTATGGAAATCCTCGAGAGTCATCAATTACTTTGAACGCTATGGTTATTGAATTTCTTGAGTGACCGTGTGCGTGGGTGGGGTGATCGGCAGTACGGGAGTGACAAGTTTTTATTTTACGAAATATTCATCGGCGACTGATTGGAATTTATACAATTTTTGTCGACGGCGACTGTAATAGGTGAAATCCTTTTCAATAGTCGCCCGAATCCTTATTATCAGATTCCGAATGCCAAAATCCGAGAAATTCCGACAAATTGTGACGAGTTTTGTCGGATACCGATGAGGTCATATCAAATATTTATGGGAGTCCGATAAAAGGATCGATTCATCGAGTAATGCGTTGACCGTTGACAACAACGGCTGGAAGTTTTCTATGACTCTTTCTAAAATTTTCTTGGTTTCAAGAGTTTTTGAATAAAAAGATAGAAAATAATGATGGAGCACAGAATAACACGAAAAAAGACAACGCATGTGAAAAGAAAAGATTTTGATTAGTTTATTAAATTGCTAATGAATTTTAATCATGACAGTCGTACAACGAGTTTTGGTAGAGCTTGAACTGAGATACACAAATTTTTGAATTAGTTTTTGTACTTTTCGGCTGAACAAATGATAAGTACAAGTTTGTAACAAACTTTGACGCATCCACGCTACTTCGGGATACTATATCAATTGCTCCCGAATCACGAAAGTAAAAATGCCGATAAAATATGTTATAACGAAACATTTTTTCATTGAACCAATAAGACTCTGTTTTTCAGCTAAGATTTCATATAATTTGAATCAATCTCGGAACATAAACGAAACAATTAAAAGCTTATATTTTCGTTTTTTTTTCACAGAGCAAGAAAATCTCCGAAAAATGATACAGATTTTAAAATTTTTCAGAAGCCGAGTATCTTTTGTTATGGCTCGGCGGCGACGGTTGCTCAGCCAAACAACTTACGCACACAAACACGCAGTGACATACACTCACACCGGCACACACACACACTGATACGCCAAACGCTCCTTTATTCGGTGAATCACTCTCATGAATAAAAATGTATTCTATCTACCCAAATCTAATCTCACAAACTCTTATGAATTTGAATCGATATTGAATTTTTGTACTCGATGATTTCCGAAATCGACGACATAGAGATTGCCGTGTCGATCGAATGACAAACCGAAGGGCACATTGAGTTGGTTCAATTGTCCTCCTCCACCGTTCCCACCAACAATGACACTTCCCTGTGTGGCTCCTTTGGGCCAACGCATTATTCGATGATTCCCGTCATCAGCCACATAGACAGTGCCCAATTGATCGACAACGACTCCTCGAGGATCTGACAATTGTGTAAGACCATTTCCTTCTCCTTGACCACCATGTTATATAAGGAGATCCTCTTACATAAGCAACCAAGTCAGATATCCTTATATAAGATCCTACATTGTATCATATCTGCTTTGACACATATTAAAGACGTGCCATAAGAGACAATTGTATGATAGGTATCATACATATATATATATATATATATTCATTCTCTTTCTTTTTGTCAGGAATTTCCCCAGTGTTACTTCTTGGATTCTTTATTTTCTGTGATCGCTTCCATGTATCCCCAGTTTCCCAGTCTAGTACATGAACTCTAGAATATTCCGCTTTTCGTGTGAACTCTCATATACATATACGCTATTTTTGTGCAAAGGATATCATGTTCAGTTTCTAAATAAACATTGAAAATCATATCAGATTGACATCAAAGCGTTACAACTATAATGACTAGAGCCACATAACACACCAGCCACGACCATATCTTGTTTTGCACCTTCCACCCATTTCATCACACGATCATTTCCATAATCAGACACATACACTGAATGATCTCGATCGACGAATACACAGTGTGGGGAAGAGAGTTGATCGAGACGATTTCCACTTCCATTGCCACCTGCAACCACTGTTCCTTGAGATTCTCCTCTTCGATATCGTCTCACTTCATCTTTTTCATAGTCACTGACATAGAGAGATCCATTCTCGTCCATTGTCAAACCCACACAATCGATGTTCGAGATGATTGTTTCTCCACTTGTCCCATTTCGATGAGGCCATCGAACCACTCTATTATTCGAACGATCGCAGATGATGAGACTATCTCTCTCTTTGTCGACAATCACATCAAATGGGTCAGACAACTGATGAGTCCCACTTCGTTGTCCATTTCCACCGGCAACCACTTGGCCACTCGTCGCACCCCATTTCCATTCCACAATACGATGATTGTATTGATCAGCGATATAGATTGTTTGATCATCATCATCAACATACATACCCCATGGGTAGTAGAGTTGATTGATTCCATTGCCTTTTCCATTTCCTCCAGCCACAGTGAAACCATTCTGTTGCCATCGAGCATTTGGATGAATGTCAGCTGATAGTGAAAGTATTGAGATGAAACAGAGCTTTGGAGTATGGATGAACACTGATTTCAATTGAATTAAGTCTCCCGCTTCTTTTCGATAGAACACAACTATGGTTTGATGAGCTTTAATGTTCATTTGAAGTTCATCAACTTTTTCTTTACTACTAGAAGGATGATTCCATTCGAAGTCAATCATAAAAATACAAAGGTCATCAAAAAAGCTTGAAACATCGCCTGTCTTGTATAGATTTTTGTGCTGATTCATTTTGGCAATAAAATATTTTCAGATCGAAAAGATATAAAGATGTTATGGTCAAAATACTGAAGCATGTAAATTTGCATCACCACCTCAGGGTTTTCAGTATTTTGATGATAGCATCTTTATTTGTTGAGTGATTTGAAACATATTTTATACCAAAATAATCAGCGTGAAAACCTCTACAAAATACAGTATGTTTGACGCGTTTAAAACATTTTCATAGTTTTCCATTGATTAACATTCGTTTGGAAGGTGAGCAAAAAAA